ACACAGACTCTGAGTCTCCTCAGAAGGCTCATCTGAGTTTATTAGAAACCCATTCTGTTAGAAACTGTTCTGATACAGGTGCATCTGCTTGGTCATTTAATCAACACCCCTCACACCATTGGGTAATTAAGAAAACACACTTTGGTAAACATCTTATGAGAAAACAACTCTTCAAAACACCAACTGCAAGATGGTTTTAATTCTTTCTCTCAGCCTTCTCTAAACTCCCCAGAACAATTCCTGGGGAACTTTGTGTGGCTTGTCTCTCTCTGACTAAACTGTCGCACCCACAATCAGGTGCTCTGAAAATCAAGATTTACTCCATGGAAATACCTTTAAAATGTGTCTGGAGGTCAGTGTTGTTGTTCCATTTTAGAGATGGGGCTTTGGAGCACAAACAGAGGGAGCTGAGCCCCAGCTGCTGCCTCTGGAGTACAGTTATCCCCAGTGCATTCCAGGTGCCCACTGCCTCTGTTTCCCAGGAAAACGGCTGTGAGGCAGCACAAAGGGTTTATTTTGGTAAGCCAAGAGGTGAATAAGGCACACATCATGTGTTTCACCCTGTTTGCAGCTGCATCCGCGGTGTGGAAAGGAGCTGCCACACCTGGGGACATCCCCTGGTGTCCCCTGTCTGTACACTGACTTTACAGCTGGGATTACCAGAGTTTAGGTGATGTGGTGCAGGTCAGTGAGACTCACGGCTGAGCAGGAGCTGCAGCTCTGGCTCCTTCTGCAAGCAGATCATACTTTACCTTGGACCAAAAACACATCATACTCAGAATTCCAGGGGTAACAGCACAAATCCCACTGAAAAATCATGGTCCTGCCTCACTTTTCCACAGTAATCCCTTACACAAATGAAGAGATCACAGCTTTTTAACAATCAGCCCTTTCCATGTCTGATGGACTCGTGTTTCATGTTTTTCTCACTCTTTTGGGCTACAGATCTACCCTGGAGCCTCTCTTGGAGAGGAGAATATCCACATCTTCCAGAGCTGAGGAGCTGCCTGTGAAAGACGACGGTGACAACAGGATTAGCAAACTCAAGAGGAAGGAGTGGAGCATTAGCAAGTCTCAGGTTATTGTGGAGAAGGAGCCAGAAACAGAACTGACTTCCAAAATGGTAAAAAAACCCCATCATCATAACGTCAGCAATAATAAAACCCACAGCAGGAGCTGAGAGTTTCCATTGCTGGTCAGGGGGAGCCTCATTAAACAGTGGGAGGGGTTCAAATACCAACAAGCCTCAGTCATCTGAGTAATTCTCTTTTTGTTAATTTGGAAAATTCGTGTCACGGGCCCAACTGCAGCTTGGCTGGAGGTGCAGACTGGGAGCAGGAAGGCTCAGGGTGGTGCTGAGCAGAGCTGAGCCCTCTCAGCACCGTGGCAAAGCCCTGTTCTGCTTGGAGCAAGGAGCCCCTGCCCAGCCAGGCAGGGATCCAGCTGCCCAGCCAGATGTGGAGCTGCTGGCAGGCAGCAGCACTGCACAAATCAAATGTCCTGTGAGGTGCAGAGCCCTTGGATGGATCAGGGAGGTGGGAGAAGATGCTCTGGTGGTTCATCAGCAGCTCTGGAGACCTGGATCTGCCAGGCTGTGCTCTGCTGCAGCCCCCTGTGAGGGCAGGGCGGTCACTGCTTGAGGAATAAACCAGAATGTGCCCCCCAGGAGCTGGCATGAGGAACAGACTGGAGCTGTTGGGCTTGGAGGCTCACAGTGGGGTTCAGAGTGGTCACCCAAAGCACAGGGATGAGTTTCAGGCCACAGACAGAACTGTGCACCCTGGGATATTGTCCTGATGGACATAAAAACTGTGCTATACCTTGAAATATTGTCCTGATGGACATAAAAACTGTGTTACACCCTGGGATATTGTCCTGATGGATGTAAAAATGTGTTACACCCTGGGATATTGTCCTGATGGACATAAAAACTGTATTACACCTTGAAATATTGTCCTGATGGATGTAAAAACTGTGTTATACCTTGAAATATTGTCCTGATGGATGTAAAAACTGTGTTTTACCCTGGGATATTGTCCTGATGGACATAAAAACTGTGCTACACTCTGAGGCTGAGAGAACTGGGCACCTGGGTATTTCAGTGCTCCTAATCTCACTGAAGCTGGTTGCTAATCTGATTTAACACAGGCTCATTTTTCACAATAGCGGGGAAACACAAATTCCTGTGTTTCCCTTTCCTCTCCAAGTTCCAGCTGAATCTGGCAGGGACAGGTAATGCTGATCCATTCCCAGGAATTCTCATCAGCTCTGAGGGAGGCTGCAGAGTGTTTCTGAGCAGGGGATCTGTGGTGCTGTCATTGGTACTGACAGCATTTCCAGCCCAGTAAAACTGGGCTGGGGATGCTGGTGCTGCAGGAGGCCTGGCCCTCTGCCTCTGGAATTGCTGTTGGATGAAATCCCCAACATCTCTGAAGGGAAGGAGCCATCCAGGGTTCCAGTCCTGCCTCAGGATGCTGCAAAGCCCAGGAAAAGCTGCTTTTATGGCTCTGCTCCATGGCTGCACAGAGAGCAGGAGCTGGACAGGGATTTCCTGCAGCTCTGGACTCGGCTGGAAAGCCAGAGGGCTTTTTGTGTGTGTGGTCCCTTCTGTGCAGAGAGAATTCCTGCACAGGGGATGGAGAATTGACCTCTGAAAAAGAGTTTAATTATGTGTTTAGGTGACAGCCTGCTCTGGAAAGCAATGAACTAATATTTAAAAGGGCCCCTGGACTTATCACTGCACTTCTGGGGCCACACTGAGGTGGCCTCGTGGTTTGAGTGAAGAGCACAAAGGATGTGACACTGGAAGGAGCTGGATGCAAATTCCCAAATGGAAAAGATTTGTAAAGCCTAAAATGGACTCATTTCACAGCCCTGACCTGCACCCAGAATTTTATTTTTCTTTATTTCTTGGAAAGAGTTCATCCTCACTCCCCTCCAAAGTTTTTCCACAGAACTGCAGCAACTTTTCAGTGTGACATCTTCCCTCCTTAATTAATTCAGTTAATTAATACATTAATAATACCATTAAAAGCAGTTTAATGCTGCTCAGGAAGTGCCAGGGGAAGCTGGGCTGTGTCCTGGGAGCACAGAGGGTGCCTTTGGCACAGCCAAGCCAGGCAGGGCTTGCACTCCTGCTCACCTTTTGTGCCAGGGTTTGTGTCACTGTGTCACCTCTGAATTTCCTGTGCTCACCTTTCTGTGCCAGGGT